ATAGATTGACACTGCAATTACTCTCACTGGTTCAACACCAACACTTCTCCATGGCAGCTTTTGCTGATTTTTATTCCCATCAGGCTTTTGGAATGTCTAGGCACTATGCTGCTCCATTAGCTGTAACCTACACTTGTACATTTATCCAGATTAGATTTTACAGCACTCTCAACACATTCTCATCTCATTTTCAATACTGCTTAAATCCCGAACAGGGTCCCGGGGGGCTGGAGCAAATCCCAGCCAGCATCGGGCGAAAGGCGGGGTACACCCTGGACAGGTCGCCAGTTCATTGCAGGGCCAACACGCACACGAACAACCACACACACACACAAACACAGTCACTCCTAGGGGCAATTTAGAGACACCAGTCAACCTAAGCCGCATGTCTTTGGACAGTGCGAGGAGGCCGGAGTACCAGGAGAGAACCCACCCAAGCATGGGGAGAACATGCAAACTCCGTACAGAAAGGTCACGAACCTGGAACCTTCTCTCTCAGCACATTTATGTATCTTAAGCTCTGCTCACATGATTCCATCCTGAGGTCGAGGAAAAATATCTGCAATGGCAATTCCAAACAAGATCAGGCTGGTCACTGCTATGAGGTTATGCAACCACTCACAACAAACCATTTATAGTACAATTCAATGGAAGACTGGTGTTTTTCACCTTTCTGCTAACCTTTTAGCATGCTACACTTGTCGTAGGACACTAGCATTATCTCAGAAGCACTGAGCACAAAACTAGCAGCTTAAATTCTAACAAGAAGTCATAAAATCTTACAGCATGGTGCCCCAGCAGCCTAATGTTGAGGGCACGTTCTACATAACCTTAATGACCAGGCTTTGATTCCTGGCTAAGGGCCGTACATTGCATGTCTCTCTTGCCATGTTTCCTGTCTTTACCCTCAGTGACTATCAAATAAAAGTAAAAATGCTAAAGTAAAGTAAAGATAATGGACAGATGCACTATGCTACAGCTTGTCTCATACTAGCATCTAAAAGTCAGCATATCTTGGCCTCTGCTGTGTCAGTTTTGTCTGTTTTCCAAAAAATGGCACTGTCAGATCCTCCACTGTTATACAATTGCAATGTTAAATTGCTGGTGTACACCATTATTGTTGTTGTTAATTTGCTATTACTCAGTTTTGACAAAATAATTAGGTCGAAATTGGTGCGTATGTCTGTTTAGACAGGCAGCGATGTAGTATGAAAAATGTGATTTGTTTTATTGTATGTTGCAGCATACAATTTATGAAATATGCACCCAAGCATGCAAATAATTGTTAGTCAGCGTGACTATGAGTGCTAGCACTCGACAAGAACCACATATCTAGCTGTCTTAAATTCTTTCTCTCCATCTCTCTTTCTTACTCACGCTCACACATATGAATAATTGAGAAGGAAGGTGGGAGAGACGGTGAGTCAGGGGTTCCTGCTCGACTGTTGCTGTGCATCTCAATCATCGAGATTCTCTGCTTCTTTCTTTGTCTCTCGCTTTCTGGCTAGTTGTAAGCACTCTATACTGCATGTAGAAATAATTCTCAGGGCATCACCCAACACAGTTTCACATAGACTTGGACACATTAGTAATTCATTGAATTTAATGAGTTTATAAAAGGTTTAATACAATCCAATACAATCAAACAATACATTCTGTAACGGTCCGTGGTTGATGGCAGTTTGCTGTGTGCAGTTTTATTGTGAGCAGCAACAGCCTCTATAGCTGAACAGACAAAGAAATGAGAAGCATTCCACTGGAGTGAAGAATCAAGGACCACCTGGTAACACATAATACTAATAAAAGAAGAAAATAAAATAAAATTCTCTTGAATTACAACTATACAGTTTTACTATACATTTTTTATGACCTGATTTACAGTAGATTTGAGGAAGCCGTGTAAATCATGTAAATATTAGATGGTTGTGGCTCATTTTCTCTGACAGTCTGACAAAAGCACTGACCCTCACAGTGGGAAATAAAGGCAGAGACAGAGAAATGAAAGGCGTAGGATGATGGAGGCTGCTGACTCATCAGCCCTGTAGCAATTATCCTTCACGTCTGCATGTGTGTCTGTGTATCCATTGTTTTACTTCTGAAAATGACATGCACAGCAGTCATTACCATGTGTATGATGACGGCATGATAGAAGAAGTGAAAGAGCCAATGGACTAGGGGAATGACTGTGAAAGCAAAGTGACCATGAACACATTTTTGCATCATGATTTATCGATTTGGCTTTCTGTCTGCTCCTAGAATGGGACATTTATTAGTGGAAATAGAACTATAAACTTGTAATGCAATTCATCATATAATATATATACACCCACTGACGATAGTTCAAGAAACTGTTATCTAAAACTGTTGTGGTTCATATTGTAATGACACTGCAAAACAAAATGCACTTTAAAATTGCAAGCAAATATTATAGAATATATTGTACTTACTTATATATGCAAAGACTGAAGAGGGTTTGTTCTGCCTCTGCGCCAGTGAGAGCCGCTGCCAGAGGCATTATGTTTTCAGGTTGTCTGTTCATCCGTCTGGCCCCGTCCATTCTTGAGAAAGTGATTTGTCAGGTATGCCTTTGGGGGGATTTCTTTGGCACAAATGTCACTTGGGTTCAACAATGAACTGATTAGATTGTGGTGTTCAAAGGAAAATGTCACAGTGACCTCACAACCGTTCCATTGTTGTGAATGTGATATATCAGAAATGCTTTGAAGGAATTTCTTAAAATTTGGCACAAACATCCACTTGGATTCAAGGATGAACTGATTATATTTTGGCATCAAAGGTCACAATGACCTCATGTCCGTCCAATTTCCATGAATTTGATGGTGGAGGCATACAACCACAAAGCAGTAATTCACCAATGCTTTTGCAAGCTAAGCACAGATCATTTGGCTGGACTGTTCACCTTCTTACCCTCTGGCCGGAGGTTCAGAAGTGTGAAATGCAGGACCTCTAGACTGAAGAACTCTTTCTTTCCCTCTGCCATCAGACTCCTAAACAGCTGACAGGAGTTTATTACCAGGAAATACGTTTTGTACTGTTTACATTCTCAGTTTGCACATGCATAAATGCACAATGACTGTTGACGAAACACGTTTCCTAACTGTGCATATGACAAATAAACACTTTGAACTTTGAATGTCTTAGGTGATCTTAGGTCTTATTTTGTTTTGAAAGCTAAATATTTTTCTTATGAAAAGACGAAAACCTACAATGCATAGTGTCCCCCTATTTTCTGACTCATTTCTAGTGATGTAAATATTTTAAAATTGCTCACAAAAACACTTTCATTCAGTAATGTAATTCCTAAAATGGCTAGTCTATGTAGTTTTTAGCAAACAAACCTTACTCAAACAGCAGTAAATGGTATATTTTTTCAGAACTATGTTCAACTGTGGAGTAGTATTTGGGGCTCCTGTGATCATTTGCTGTAAAACACCAAGACAATGTATATGGGTCCCTGAATCTTTGGTGGTTGCCTGATGATGAAAAGACTCCAGCAATTCACTGTGGTAACCTCTTACAAATAACCTCGTGTAAAACTGCTGTCATTGTTTCACTATCTATAAACACTTTTAAGAAATGATTATTAGAAACATTTCATTAGTTAAGTATCTTTAAGTAAAACGTGTCAGTTTTCCATCCACATCCATTACTCTACACTTAATGCCATTTTAACAGGGAGCATGTTGCCCCATGTGTGAGGTGTACTAGGTGTAAGGAGTCTATATTAAGCCAGGAAGATAAAGTCAATAACCATCTCACAGATGCCTCCTAATGTGCTGGCAGTGTGCAGAAACTGATATGACACTATTAATGAATCACAGTAGTCAGTCTACATCCACCCTGCTCTGCTGAATCAAAGCTTTTAAAATGACAGCAGTAATGTTTTTGTTGCCTCTCTGTCCATCAGTGTGTGTACACACCTACTTATCTCATTCCTCACAGTCACTGTGCTATGTATATAAATTCATGATTGGTTCTTATTCTTTTTGCTCTAGCTTGGTTTCCACTAAGTCCTGAGGGAAATCTCTTAAGCTGTTGAATGCTCTGTCTGCTGTGTTCACAAGCTAGTTCCTAACTTTGTCTGCCAGTACAGAACTGGTAGCATATGGTGGGTTTATCAAGAGTTTTTTGTTGAAAGCAAAGTGATAGTCATCTTTCATTCATTATCAAAAAAATATCAACCTGATAAATAGCTGGTAGTTTACTGTACAGTGAATTTCAGTATAACACAATGTCTTGTCACTGGAGTAGAGCAGCCTGTCAGAACCTTGGTGTTGTGTGCTGTCTGTCTGGTTGATTCTTACTGTGGTCCTGTCTTGCCTGCTGTGGAGTGTAACACTTTCCCCTGCCAATACTGGTATTAATGACTGGCTGCAGAAACTCAAAGCAGCAGCCAGAATGATTCACAACAGGCACTGGTGGCATAATGTGAAATGTGTCCTATGTTTCTTTAAGATGGAAATGGAAGCTTCCTGAGACAGTTCTGCTGATTTAAAAGCAAGTTTTTCTCACACAAATACAGTACAGTTGCTACAATACTGATGACCATTAATTTGACTAAACCTCTGGTTTTAGTTTACTATAAGTGATCCTAAATTTGTGTTTCAGTCCAGAATGTAAAAATGTGTTGCTAAGAGGCTTTTCTTTACACAGGGTGATGGTGGAAGTCTTAAGTCTTGTCTGTTTCCAGATTTTTTGCTTATTTGAGGAAATGCTTACTGTCACACTAACAATACCTAATACCACAAGTGAAAATTAGGATGCAAAAGAGTGTGGCTGTGAAAGGCAGCAAAGCCCAGTACCAGTAGTACTACAGTGCATTTATCACACTCCTGTTTGTCATTTATAACCCATTTTTATTCCAACATCCCTGCAGTTGTTGAATAAAGGTCTTATTGCAGTGTGTATTTGTGTTGGGTCTCTCCCCTGCTAATATTGTCATGTGACCTCCTGTTCCATCTCATCCCTGTGCTTCTCAGACTTGGTCCAGGCCACCCAGGAGACCAATGTAAATGTCCCGCAGATGGCTGACACACTGATGGAGAGGGCTGGTAATGCCAGCTGGGTGGTGGTTTTCAAAGCCCTGATCGCCACACACCACCTCATGGTGCATGGTAATGAGGTGAGGTTATAACAAACGCATACTGTATATACTGATGTTGGTTGCAGGTATAATGTCTGGTAAAATGCTCCCAGCCCTAATGGTGGCGTTCACTGATTGGTTAGACAGTATTATCCCGGTCAAAAATATCTCTGCACTGCTGCCAAGCAGTTTAATGGGTCTGGGGTCATATATGAAGCTGTGCGTAAGGATGTTGGATTGTTAACTGACTGTTTTTCTTCATTTAAATTGTACAGCGCAAAGTAATTTTCTGTTATCCAAAACAAAGTTGCAGAGTTTGTTTAAACTTAAAAGGAACTTTTAAGTTTAAACACTGGGACGTTGTAAGATAACGTTTTCCTAAACAAACTGGAACATAACTGGAACGTTCTTGGAACAAAGAATTCCTAGCTGGGTAGGAGCCTTCGACAGTTACTCTCCCCATTAAGATAAGTTCTGGGGATGTTTCTACTAGAAAGAACAATTTTGGCAACTACTATAAACTGTAACTTTAAGGAGAGTAGTATTGCACCCCAGATGAGTTCCACTGTTTCATGTCAGATGTGTACAGTAAATATTTAGTATGCCGGGACGTTTCTCATAACGTTGTAAGGCCACACTTTGTTAATGTGCTTACAACAATAAGGAGAAACCCTTATGTTCAAAAATCCTTCCACTGGCTACCAATGACCTACCACTACTTTATAAATCGCTCAATGGTATGGGGCCAAAATCCATGTCTCTTCTCCTTGAAGAACACAAACCCAGCAGGGCTCTGAGATCCTGAGGAAGCAGTCAGCTGGTAGAACTTCAGGTCAGAGCCAAACAGGGTGAAGCTGCTTTCAGCTACTATGCTGCACACAGATGGAGCCAACGTCCTGATGACCTTGAATGTGCCTTAACTCTACGTCCCGTTTTCCTCTGCCCTGTTATTTTCATTGTAACTGCGTTTATTCTGGTTTTAATGCTGGTACTGTTTTTCCTGGCCTCTGTAAAAGCACTTTGAATTGCCTCTGTATGAAATGTGCTACATAAATGAAGTTTCTTTGCCTTATGAAAAATGCTGTTTTAGAAGAAGAGAGAATATACTGTACTACAGTGGCTGCAGACTGTGAAGCTCATTTCACTCATTCATTCACTTTCCATTCTAAATACTACTGCTCCCCCCCATTATTTTATGGATCACCAGCCTAGCATGCATTATGTAGAAAGCAGAAAAGCTTGGCTGATATTTACTGATACAAAGATAATCGTATTAACCTTTGGAGTCAATACTGCACGTGTCAGTGGGAGAGGCTGAGTGTAACCATGGGCCACAGTGGCATTCTGTGCATGCCCCTTCACACAAACACACAGAGTTCACTGATAAGCTCAGCTTGCATTTGAATCATGTGATATGGACAAAAAAGCTTAAAGGAACAGTGACGTGAATGTTTGAGGCATGAGATTGTTACCAAAATATGTATACAGCATGTACCGTTTGTTTGGAGTAAGCCATTTCTTGTAGGGCTGCAGAGAGAGCCTTTTAATCGTCTTTATGTTCTATTTCCCAGCACTCTCTGTGTCTAATTCATATTCACACCCTCCCACTCACTAAGGCTGTGGCAGTGCCACTTTAATGCTGGATTTCTCTCCAAGACAAATACAAACTCTACCACTAGCAGCTACTTAGCCTAGTATAAGGACTGGAAACGTGGAAGACATCAGCCAAAGGTACCAAAAGGGGGCGACAGTGGTGCAGTGGGTAGAACAGTCGTCTCCCAACCAGAAGGTTGAAGGTTTGAATCTCGGTGCCTGCAGTCCACATGTTGAAGTGTCCTTGGGCAAGACACTGAACCCCCAAGTTGCCCGTGATGGCAGCACGCAGCGGCCCAGGGCCCCTCAGCTCCAAACAAAATTTCATTGTATGTTACAATGATAATAAAGCTTCTTCTTCAAAAGCCTTATACTGTACATCTCCAGGCTACAGAAACTATTTATGCTTGTTTCCAGCTGCCTACTTCACATTTACTAAATATAGCCTACATGACAGTGGAATCAGTCTTCTCTTCTATCTCATGGCAACAAAGTGAGGAAGTGCATTTCCCAAATGTTTCTACTATTCCTTTAAACAACTGTTTTTTCTTTTCGTTATTGTGTTGGATTATCTATTCAGTCTAAGATCACTGAAGCTCATATTCATAATCTTTCAAATTTGAAACCATGCACCTATTACAGCCATTTGCTTCTGTAACTAAGCCTGTTCATCTCCAAAGCCAAACAATTTAAGAATGCCAACTTAAGATATTTTTCCTTAGCTATTTTTGATTTGTGCCTGACAGAATTTAACTCTGTCTTTGTCATCTCCTGCAGAGATTCTTGCAGTTTCTAGCATCTAGAAACACCTTGTTCAACCTCAGCAACTTCCTGGACAAAACTGGCTCTCATGGTGCGTGATGTCTCTTTCCTTATGTATGAGAAAAGCAGCCATCCAACACTTTCAACCCCAATTCATTTATATACAGCACTGATTTTTAATTAACTAATTCTTTCACCCCTTTATTTCTATGTTCCACTCTCCCTTGTTCTCTAACAATTAAATTTAAGGCATTTAACAGATGGTTTTTAAGCAGTTCAGACAATGGGAGAACAAGGCTGAGGGTTAAAACCAACCTTCCCACTCTTCCTAGCCCCTTCTCCCCTCAATTAAACCCATCTCCATGGAAATGAACACAGTCTCCCATGGTGATAAACACAGTGTTCAGGGGCTGTTGTCAAGGGCATTTCGTCTACTAGAGTGTCTACAGTATCTGTAGCGTTAAACAGTATGTGTTCAACATCAGATTAGAATGTGGATTACATGAAACACTTGTGTAGAAATCTATGTATGCATTCACTAGCTAAGAAAGATGTCATTCCACACTCTTAAAATTCTCCATATTACTATAGCGATAGTTTGACGCCTGAAAATATGCTTATTAGTTTTTCCCCAGGAATTAGCTAAATGAGCCGTCGCATCAGGTGGACGCGGACTCTTTGATGCATTATATTTAATTAATTAATGTAACTTTTTGGAATGTAATATTTCCCCCTGAATTGTAGTCGAGTATGGAATAAGAAAATGAAAACAAAGGACATTATTATTTATAAGCCTTTTAAAAACTGCATTTCATTAGCACTGAAAAAATGCAATGTGCTCGTGTTCTTACATTCCTGTGTGCTGTGTTCTCCTCAGGCTATGACATGTCCACATTTATCAGACGCTACAGCCGCTATCTCAATGAGAAGGCCTTTGCCTACAGACAGATGGCTTTTGACTTTGGCCGAGTCAAGAAAGGGTACAGTTTCTCATTTCTCACCACACCACCTTGCTGCATGACTGTTTCAGCCTGAATACAGATTTTTTTAGAATTGATTTGAATTTTAGAAATGCTTAGCTGAGACCTGAACATGTACTGTTGTTACTTGCCCCAACAACACCCCTCCCCCCCCCAGTTTGTGTGTGGGAGGGACTTGGTTCCCTCCAGCTCATCAGTTAGCCCAGTCCACGATTGCACTCTGTGTACTGAGTGCACACATGAATACAATGTGGCTTATTACTCATGCTCACACTGTGGACAGCTCTGTTTAGCTAGAAGGCACAGGGTCCCTCTGGCTACATAAAGTGGCACTCATACAGACTACAGAAATGAGACCAGGCACGTTGGTGGATACTATACAGTATGTGGGGCAGGTACACAGGTACTCATGGTAACAGGCAGCATGCGAGTCTGTCTCAGGTCCCTCATTCATTACAGTGGCAACTGGACCACAGAGACCAGGCTCCTCTCAGTTATTAATCTTGGTTTGATGATATTATTCTTTACTGGCCTAAAATGTTTCAGCTTTACTCCTTTATTCTTAATCTTTCCTTCTCTGTTCCCTCTCCATGCCAGAGCTGAGGGAGTGATGAGGACCATGTCAGTAGAGAAGCTGTTGAAAGGCATGCCCACCCTGCAGAGCCAGATCGACGCACTGCTGGATTTTGATGTGAGTGACAAAGTCACTTTGCAAGGCTACGGAATTTGCGGAGGGAAAAACTGTTAACTGGGTTTAATAAAGCTTAATGTTGTAGCAGAATGTACGATGATGTGTAGTCAAGCCCCCTTTCACACACAGGACAGGAACGTGTGGTCTACTCTAACTGAAACAGTCAGTGATATACATCTTTTTATATGTGCCTCTTGTCTTTCCACAGGTGCATCCACAGGACCTGAACAACAGAGTGATAAATGCCTGCTTTCTCCTGCTCTTCAAAGATCTGATCAAGCTATATGCTTGCTACAATGATGGCATTATTAACCTGCTAGGTAAAGACTCACTCCTTCAGCTGTGTTGCTTGTGTTTCAATACTTTCTGACTTCCCCACCCTGTCTGTGGCACTGAGCCCCAATCTGTTTGTTCCTGTTGTACTGAGGAAAGAAAACTAAAAATATTGTTTCACAAATACTTAATTTTTTGCTTTGGTTTAAGAGAATATAGAGCATTTATGGATACTATTTAAGATTATTTTCAGCTGGACTACAGCAGCTGTACAGTGCCCGATGAAGGAACATGTGAGCCAGTGCAATGGTTTGCCTCTGTGATGTGTTACTAATAGTTTTTGCACCGAGTGGAGCTTTGTGGCACAGAGGGAGAGGAAATAGTATATGAGGCTTTGGCTAATGGGATTAAAAGAAAACTAAACCAGACTTATTTTTAACCATATGAAGATAGATTAATCTTTTATCGGTTTTGTCTAGAAAAATTTTTCCAGATGAAGAGAAGCCAGTGCAAAGACGGACTGGAAATCTACAAGAGATTCCTGACACGAATGACTCGGGTTTCTGAATTCTTCAAAATTGCTGAGGTAACTTGCAGAACACACTGGTCACTGATCTGCAGCTTAATCTTACGCTTATTAACTGTCACATTGTCACATTCTTCTTTTACAGCAAGTTGGAATAGACAAAAATGACATACCTGAACTCACTCAGGTAAAGCTGACTAAGGCTTTTTCTTAACTTTACTTTCAAGAAATTATTGTTGTATCTGTGATTTTGTTTTTCCCAATGTTCTTGCATCTGTGAAAGTCAAAAGCTACTTAATATTTTTTCCTCCTGCTTGTTCATTATTGCTCCCATTTGATTAAAGCCAGACGTTCAGGGGTAGCTACGCTACGCTATGCTGTCTCATGATGTAAAAAGGGGGTATGTCCAACTGTAGCCCATGCGCACTTCCATCCATGCAACCAGTGAGCTGTGGTTCTGTGGTGATTGATGGGGGGGCCCTTCTCTTTTCACTTCCACAGATGCATATTGATTAGTCAGGCTGAGAGTGAGCTGTGCACAGAGCTAGCTTTGAGAAGCAAACAGCTTAGGAAAGGTCAACATTAGAACGGTCTTTAAGTGCACTGAAGCACACACTGCACTGTGAGTGCACACTCAGCAGACAGACATCAGGCGCTCTGATGAAGTGGGACAATGTGACTAAGAGTCAACTGGATAAGCTGTGATATCCTGAGCAATGCTGCTGACTTCTTGAGCTGAACAGTTTTAGTACAACACCTGTATAAAGAAATTACAGACTTTTATCCTGGAGCTGTGCAGCAGAATTTCCATGACAGCCTCACTGTAAAGATTAGTTTCTGACTTATTGGATTCCGGATTTTTGGATCACTGACCAATATAAGTGATGCCCAAAGTGAGAACCGATTTCTCCTTTGGTTCTTGAATCTGTTCCAGACTTCTGGAACAACTCTGTTGTGGTAACTCTGCAGCTAAGGTTGTACTTTCAGACTTGGCAGTGTGGGCAATTTGCATGAAAGGCACGCTGTAATGCTGTCTGGTAAAATGTAGACTTGTTAGGTCACTGTCGAGACGGTGCTATAGAACACATCCACACCATGCTGAACTGAATAGACTATAATGTATGGCACTTTTATTATAGAGTATTTGAAAAAGGAGTTTGGATGTTAGATCCACAGAACCAGACACATTCATACATTCATGTCATAAGGTTTTAGTCAGAGGATCTCAGACAGACATTGATAAATGGTCTTCCTTTCAGTGCCAGGGCTAAATATTATCAGTCTTTCTGCCCTGTTGGTCTTGTAAAGTTTTAGGGCTAATAGACTAGACAGCTTTAAATGGATACATCCGGGAAATGGAGCAGGGAATTAAGGAAAGAGAACCAGTGACTTAATTCATTGGCTGAATTAGCTTTGGGCTCTCTTTATAAGCCTGCTGAAATGATTGTGCTGTCCATTTTACTGCATGTCAGGAGGTGATAATGTCCCATTTAACCTGGTTGAGCATGCAGATTTGTACTGTGGCTGACTGGACTGTTCTGTTCTCTACACTAGCATGATGATTAAAGCTTTAATTGTTTTGTATCTTCATCTTGATTTTTTTCCCCCATTTCCCATAATTCTGGATGGAATTATACAAATTATGAAAATATATTAACAACCAACTGTTGAAGACTTTGCAAAGAAAAGATGGAGTGAAGTGATGCAAAACAAAGTACCTAACAATACACATACATACTGTAAGTGTCAACACAGGTGATGCCGTGAGGAATGGGTTTTAATGCTGTAAATGTAGGGGCAATGCAAGGTTAAATTTCACTAGCTGAAGATAATCAGGAAATGAATTTTCAAATCTCCAAGAAGTTTGTATTCCTCTTTAGGTGGCATGGAGTTTTAGGTCTAGCAGCTTGGGAGTATGGCTTTCACAGACAAATGCATCCCTGAACAGAGTGAAGTGGTCTAAAAGTCACTGCTGTCCAGTCAGTGTCGATTTAATTATTCTGAAAAACTTCACAAGGAAGATAATTATCAGTGCACCAGGGGAAGGACGCATGGACTCACAGCAACAGCCTCTTTCATAGAACAACTGAATAGCAAGGGTCATTCTTGTGTCATATCTTTCCAAATTTCTCATAGAAATCCCACTACTGTGTTTCTGTCAGTGTGGTCCCCTCTGTTCTGTGATTCTCCCTGATCATACCAAACAGTAATGCTGTGTCATTCTGCAGGCCCCAGAAAGTCTTCTGGAGTCCCTGGAGACCCACCTCAACACTCTGGAGGGGAAGAAGTCGTAAGTAGCCAAATACTGTATATCCCCAGCCTGTATTGGTTTCTTAACGCTTACCACAGAAACACGGGGCCAAAGCTTCAGTAACGCTGTAGTAACAGATTTTGCCAAGCTGAAAGTCATATCAGTAATGAGTTTGACTCAACAGTTGGCTGTCCAACATGCACCTGAGTATGTTTGGCACTTCTAGTCTGTTTCATTTTTGAATTAGTGTTACATTCATGAGCTATCAGCACTATCCCCTGTTACTTCTCTAACATGCAATTTCCTTTGTCTTTACCCAACTCAGCGAGGACAAGTAAGTATTCTCAGTCAATGGGCATAGAGCATGTAAATATTATTTTGCCATTGTTGGTATTGATTGCAAAACCTTTTGTTCTGTTTAAGTTATGGTTTTCAATGATTTTGTAGTAATGACATCTGAACAAATGACTGATATTTGTATTGTTGTGTGCTATAATGTTGTTCAAGATGCAGTTCTATAGAAAACCTACAGTTTTGACTTTTTCTATAAAAATATATTCACATTTTGTGACCTGACATAATTTATACCATTGCTGTCACTGACATACTTTACAATGACTTTTAGCTGATGTCATTACTAACATGTTCTTCGCTGCCCTGACCTTTACAAGGCTTTAGAGTAGATGCATGCTATTCAAAAACAAGCAGCTCTTGCTTTGTCTGTAGTGGTGTAAAGAAAGGTTTTGTTTGAGTGGCGCTGGGGCCAAGATGCCATTATTCAGCAGTGTGGTTCCATTAATTACAGATGTTTGCTAAATGGAATTTCTTTGAAGTGCTGCCTGCATGAAAACACCATTAAGCTCTTTAACTCATGTGCTATCATTATTTGTACAGGTCACCTACTAAGGTAAGTCATGTTTCATGATAATCATTATGTAGTAATAACAATAACTGTTCATTTTCGGAACCAAACTGTTACTGAGGTCTTAACAAGTACAAGAACAAGTAAAAGATGTTAAATTTCATTTCACGTTTAACAGTTGTGACTTCCAGGTAGTGGCTTATTGTGAATTCATGTGATAAAAAGCTTACATAACTGTGTTGGCCACCACATTAATGGGGGTCTTTGTCTACGGCAGGAGCCAACAGCCAACAACAGCTCGCCCGCTGTTGCTGCTGCTGCCCCAGCCAAGCCTGCGCCTCCTGCTGCCGCTGGTGGGCCCACTGGTGGGCCCCCTGCTCGCCCCGTGCCACCTGCCAAACCCCCTCCGCCCTCTATCACTCCCACTGCACCAGTTCTTGCCTCAACTACTGCTACAACCAAGTAAGAGTCATTCAAGCATATTATATAGTGTTTCATCTGAGATGCATCAGTATTAGATTAGAAATGGATTCCCACGGTCAGTCACTCCCTTGCTTTTGTCTCTGTTTAGTGCCCTTGATGATGGGTTCCTGTTGGATTTAGATCCCATGTCCTCCTCCTCGGCAGGAGGGACTGCAGCGGCGTCCTCTATGACTGGATGGGGAGGTGAGAACTTTCTGCTCTGTTGGTAGCTGATTTACCTCAGTTACAGCTGCTATGCTTGTCAAGCTGTATGTTATCACAGTGACAACGTGGCAGGTTTACCACCAGAAACAACAGGTTTTTGAGTTCAGACAGGAAGACAAAAGCAGGCTTCTCAAATCTTCTAAGTGACCACTGATTTAGATGACTGTAGTTGTTAGCCAGTTAAGCTAATAAATGATTAATTAACCTGTTTCATTAATAATTAGGCTAACTGACCTAATATTAGCTCCATGTGTTGGTTGAAAACACTGTCTCCACCTAACATTATAATGATTTTCTTAAGCACTTGTACATAGTTTTAGCCTCCAGGACAGGTCTTGTGTCAAATAATATTTCCTGCCCAATGAATTCATGTTTCCTATGGCGTCCACTCCACAGTTATGTTAGGTTAACATATGGTCAGGCACAGCAGAGATAACTGTCAGTTGAACCAAGTGGAAGCAGCACTGAAACATACTGAGTGACCTGAACTTAAATCTAGTTACAGAAACAAATATTAATAAGTGATAATCTATTTAACATAAATTCCATCACATTTAAATGGACCACTGCTGATGTTTTGTTTCAGCCCATTAACTACAGACCCCTTTACTTACATTACCATGGGCCATTTTCCAATGCATACAGTGATTTTATTACCCCAGAAAAATGAACAGAAACCAAATTTTGCCTGGAAGAGGTTGGAAGAAGAAACTCAATTAAAAAGCATATGGTATGCTTTTGGATAATGGTCGGCAGTGATATATGATTTGTGCTAAATGAGCTGATACAGAAGCGGTGCCCTGTTTGAAGTATTTTATTGGACAGTGTGGAAGTTCTAGTAGTTTATATTACATTTCCATTATAAAGCTGCATTTGCTTTTTTTGTCACACCTCCTCTTTGGCCCCTCTGAAAACCTGAACACAGCCAGGTGTAGCCTTTCAATATCTAAGTTACATTAAGGAGCTTTTGGCTTTACTGGTGGTGTATGTCTATTACTTATTTGTTCTGTAAAATGTTGGCAGTTTTCAAATTAAAATCATTGAATTCAAAGATTTCAAAATTTCATCTGAGAGTCTTGATACTTAAAAATCATACTGCTTATTTTTGATGTTCATTCTTTCTCACTGGTGTTTCTGTGTTTGTTGTTGTGCAGATCTCTTGGCTGAGGGTGAGTATCCTGCTGACAGGAACATTGTCCAACCTGGCTTTCCTGACATTCTCTGTTTTTGTGTCAAGCTGTGTTTGCATAGAAGACAAAATTGTTTTCACCTCTGCACTCAAACTTTCCAGCTAATCTCTTGGCACACACCAAGTCTATGGTTTTTCATGTCTTAGTCACTTTGACACTGCCGTCTTCCTCCTGTCTCCTGTTTTTTTTTCCTTCTCCTGTTTCTCTGTTCTGGGGTTTGTGACTGGGATTTGGATTATGGGGTTTATCCATGTAGCAACCCCAGCTGCCACTGATGGAGCCTCTGAAGCTCTCCTGGTGAAGGGGGAGTCTGCTAATGCTGATGCCGTGGCTAACCCCGCCGCTGCCGCGCCC